CTTCTGACACATTTCTAGAATAGACATTAGCATACTTTACTCCTAAATACTTAAACCTGCACATCATTGACAAATATTTCCAATATCCCAATTTGGAATTGAGGTAATTCTAATAGAGTGATTGGAGAGAGCCAGGCTCCACTCTGGTGGTACTGAGATAAAATTGAACAGTAATTTCTGCTTCTTTCCAGTAGAGTAATAGTAGTAGTGGTAGTAGTTTTGGTTTTTTTTAATTCTTTCTTTTTTCCATTTTTCCTGGAAATGATTTTCATTCCCCTCCTTGAGTGAGAGTGGTGTCTATTTACTCCATGCTTTAAGATGATAGAACACTCAGGAATGATGATGGAAGCACAGGGATCTGAGACAGAGGATGGTCAGAGCGGGTGCCAGTTTAGACCACTGTCCAGCTCACTGACCTTGTACCTGCTGTATTTGAAGTCAAGGCTGCATTTGGCGGTAACTGTGAATAGTCACCTTACTTCTAGCAGCACTGAAGCAGTTGAATGGTTTTTCAGGCTTAGATTTCAGGAAAGTAGCTCCTAAGTGGTATCTAGGCTCCTGCCTCCCACTGGAAAGCCCATGGTACATTTCAATATCGAAGGAGAAGTGGCAGCGTTTCCATGTGTCGTGTGTGTGTGTGTGTGTGTGTGTGTGTGTGTGTGTGTGTGTGTGATTGTTTGCTTGATTGGGTGGTGTCTTTTGTTTGTTTTTAATAATACTGGCTTCCTACAGGGCAGTAGGGTGAAAGAATGAATTCAAAGATTTGTTTTTCTTAACTCTTAGTCACTTTATCTAGCACTTTGTAAATTAGCTGCTTGGGTGTTGTATTATTTATTTCTCCTCCCACTCCGGCACTGGTAGTTTAATTGCTTTGTAGAAGAGAAATTGGGGATACACAGAACAGAGACAGGAGGGACGAAGGCTCACATTTGCTTTAGCCTCAAGTTCACATGGGTCTTTGTCAGAAAGAGGACTTAATATCTCTGAGACCCACTCTTTCTGTGGCTTCTCCAAAAACAGTGCTGTGCCCTTAAGGTACCTGCAGATCCTCGAGAAATGTTACATTCAGTTTTCCAGAAAGCAGTATAACTTGGACCAGTGTTTTTCCCTCCTTGATATATCATGGTGATTTCTACAAAGACAATGAAACTCTGGAGGCCTCCCCCATCCTTACTAAAGATTTATTCCAGCTAAATGACTCTAGGACAGCCCCGGGAGAGTCCCAGAGCACTGTGATATGGGCCATGGTCGGAACTGAGGGCACTAATTAATCCCAACATCAGTGGTGCACTCGACAGCAGCAAGAATCTGCGCTCCCTGTCTCCCAGGTGCACAGGGTAGAGAAATTATTTCAGAGGGAGTTGAATCCCCTTTCCCCCGTAACCTACAACCCACCCATATGCCGCCCCCAGCTGCCCCCCGTCCTTGCCCTTCCATCGATAGCTGATATCCTCCACGTCCAGACACCTGTGCAAGGTAAAGACCCCAAGACAGACTGGTGAAATCCGGACTTTAAGCCCCAAACGACATCCAGGTCCTGAATGCATATCATGTAGTCTTTCCTTTCCTCTTCTTGTATTTGCTTTCTGGATTTGCATCGCACGTAAAGCATGTGGGCGTTTTATTTTTATATTTTTGTGTGTGTGCGCAGTGTCCGCCCCAAGCAAGTCTCTTGGGAGGAGGAGGCGGCGACTGGCCCGAAACAGGTTTACCATTGATTCTGATGCCATCTCCGCCAGCAGCCCGGAGAAAGAGTCCCAGCAGCACCCCGGGGGCGGGGACACTGACCGCTGGGTAGAGGAACAGTTTGACCTTACTCAGTACGAGGAGCACGATGACGTCAAGGAGACAGACATCCTCAGTGACGATGATGAGTTCTGTGAGTCCGTGAAGGGCGCCGCGGCGGACCGAGACCTGCAGGAGCGGCTTCAGGCCGCCTCCATCAGTCAGCGGGAGAGATGCCAGAAGGCCCTGGATAGTCACGCATCCCGCATGACGCAGCTCAAGAAGCAAGCCGCCCTTTCGGGCGTCAACGGAGGCCCGGAGAGCACGAGCGACGAGGTCATTTGGGTTAGGCGTGAAGACTTTGCCCCCTCCAGGAAGCTGAACACTGAGATCTGACTGCCACGTGCCCCGGTAGAGACAGTCCTTGTAGATACGTCTCCCGCCCCGCCCCTACTCCACGCCCCTCCCGGATTCGCGAGGGGGAGAATGCTCCCTTTAAGTCGCACTCTTGCACACACGGTTTTGGCAGCTGACTTTGTTCTGAAGCCATGTAGCCACCCAACTTTATCGTTTCTAACAACATCGGAAAGAATTGTTCAAGAATCCCAAATCAGCTTGAGTCCTATCTCTCTATATTACCAAGGGCTTTTATTTATTCTCAATCAGGGCCTAAAGAATTAAAAACAAAAAAAAAAAATTCTATAGCACTGGAAAGCAAATTACCCCAGGAGTTGAAGTATGCAATACAGATTAGTTTAAAGGGTAGCACACGAAAAAATAAAAGATTCTCTCTGAAATCAATCCAGGAGCCATCTCCTAGTTGGGGAAACAAAGCAACTGTACAGCTTGCAGTGTTCTTACTCCTTTCCCTCTTAAATGTCTGAGAATATCTGTGTATTTTAAGAATGTGTGAGGAGAAGGTGGAGATTTATGTTTCCATGAGCCTTTTTCTTTTTTTTCCTCTTCTGTTTAGGTCTATGGCTGGTCTTACTCGATGTCGGTGTTCGGAAGTTCTAGTTTTGCATAGAATTATAAAGATGCCAAACTCCTTGGAAAGAGATCCAAATTTATCACTTGAAAAAAAAACACTATTTTTTGTATTTTACCTGAGATGCAGGGGGCACAAACAGATGAGACTTTTACTTAAACTCTGAGTTTAAAAAAATGAGGATTTTACCTTTTACAGAGAGAGTGAGACGTGGTGATTTTATATTTATATATGAAAGGCCAACAAGATGCTTAGGAGAAACTTTTCCCAAGAAGCAGCTTTGTTTTTGTTTTTTTCTTTTTTTTTTTAATTTAAATGTTTGAATCTCTATTTGAGATGGGAGCTTGGTTGGATTAAACATGACACCGGGATGGGCAATGTGTGTGTCTGTTGCACATGGCGGGGGAGGGGAGACTCCTCCTCGTGGAGTTGCCATGGTGATCATTGGTTTTCCCATCATAGTTGCATCTTCATCCATAGATTACCTACTCCTTCCCTGACAGTCCATAACCAAACCGTTTAACAAAACCACCTCTTCAAAAACATGTCTTGGGTTTAACACCTTCTTCATGCCAACAAAACAGGGTAAACATGCTAAAAAAACTAATGTTCTAAACAGATTTCCAAATAGGAAGAACAAAAACAAGTTAAAGCACTTTCAGTATTTTCTTTTTTTAAAAATAATGTTTATAGCTTTTTTTTTTCCCATTTCACAATGTCCACTTCCTAAGAAAGGTTTAAATAATAAGAAAACTTTCTTTTTGGGGAAAATATCTATTTGATGTTTGACACATCAGTAGGTACTTTAAAGACCTGAATTTTATAGTAGCTTTAGGAATTATATTTTATAAAAATCAGTTATGACTTTATATTTCCAGACAATAGAGAGTTCAGACCATCACGCTCTTGTGCCCCTGCTTGCTTTACCTGCTTTCCCACCCTGTATCCCTCCCCTTTCGGGTTTCCAGGGCTTTGAGCTTGATCTTTTGAGAGTTTTCTTCTATTAAATTTTTGCTATATCTTCTGATTTTCTTAAAGAGCTTTAGGATGATTTCTATACCCTTCGTATCACTGCATTGTTCCATTTCATCTCCAGTTCGATTGTGTCTGGGTGGAAAACTGAAGCAGAGGCTTCTAATAGTCCCATTTACCAGTCCCAGTGCAACGGGTTTGTCTGAAAATGCTGGAAAGTCTGGTGCTTGGAGAGGGTGCCATTGTCTCTTGTACATAAGGTCATGATGTGTCTATGTCAAAAGTTCTTATATATTTCTTTTATAAGCTGAAAGAAGGTCTATTTTTATGTTTTTAGGTCTATGAATGGAACGTTGTAAATGCCTGTCAAACAATAAAAAATATTGAAAAGTGTCTGGACGGTCCTGTGCCTTTTTGGGTGGGAGGATGGATATGAACTGTAGAATATGTGGGAGAAGATACCTAAGGATGCCTTTTTTTTGGATAAATAAATATCGTGACCATCGAGGGAAAGCTGAATTGGTGGAGCTTGAAGTTTTTTTTATCTTTTTAATTGAGGTATAGTTGATATGTAACATTGATAGTTTCGGATACTAAACATAATGTATATATTGCAAAACGACCACCACAAAAAGCCTAGTTAACATCCATCATCATCCATAGTTATAAAAAATATTTTTCTGTGATGAAAACCTTCAAGACCCACTCTCCTATGCTACTTTCGAATATGCAATACAGTGTTATGAGCTGTAGCCCCCATGCTGTCTATTACATCCCCATGGCTTATTGCATAACAGGAAGTTTGTACATTTGATGTCCTTCACCTTTTTTGCCCATCCCCCCACCCCACCTCAGGCAACCACCTCTGTTCTCTATATCCATGAGCTTGGTTTATTTGTGTTTTTTTGTTTGCTTTTTAGATTCCACATATAAATGAGATGATAATGGTGTTTATCGTTTGCTGTCGGTAGAGCTTGAAGCTTTTTTTGCTTTAAATTTTATTGGAGCATAGTTGATTTACAGTGTTGTGTTAGTTTCAGGTGTACAGCAAAGTGATTCAGTTATACATATACGTATATTCATTCTTTTTCAGATTCTTTTCCCATCTAGGTTATTACAGACTACTGAGTAGAGTCCCCTGTGCCACACAGCAGGTCCTGGTTGGTTATCTATTTTATATATAGTAGCGTGTGTATGTTAATCCCAAGCTCCTAATTTATTCCTCCCCCCACGTTTCCCCTTTGGTAACCATAAGTTTGTTTTCAGAATCTGTGTCTGTCTTTGTTTTGTAAGTAAGTTCATTTATATCATTTTTTAAAAATTAGATTCCACATATGAGTGATGTATTTGTCAGTAGAGCTTGAAGTTTTAACAACAACGACAAAAAGACATTACAGTTCCTCGACATCTCGGTCTACTACTGATAGTGGAGAATACGAAATAGCACAGATACGGATCTGTACCCACGCTGAGCACTCTTTTCCAGTATCCTGCGCCCTCCTGGTGCGAGCAGGGAGAGGGGTGCCTGGGGAAGAATTGGGGTGAAGTGCAGAGCTTAGACTGACCTGGGCGGGTGAGCTCTTGAACACAAGATCTGCCTCTACATTTTGTCCCTGGGGGTCTTGCTGCCTGAGTCTTCCACAGGCTCACAGAAAAAGTAAATGCGGTTTTGGGCTGCCTCACCTTTCCCTTTCAGAGCCCCAGATCTTACTCCTCCCCAATCCCTTAAGAACCTTCCCCGTCAAAGTTGACCTCACCCACCCCTCCCCTCCAGGTGAATAGGTTTTCTCTGCCTGCCTTCCCTAAAATAAAAGAGTTCCTCTCACAGCCACAGGTGAGCGGTTCCTGGATGAACAGCATCAGCGTCAGATCCTAGGAGCTTGTTAGGAATGCACCCAGACCTACTAAAGCGGAACCTGCATTTTAACAGGATACCCAGGTGATACGTATGCATGTTCAAGTTTGAGAAGTGTTGGTTTGGCAGTCTCTAAACGTTTTGATGTTGAGCAGTGATCTGGAGCACATACCTTTTTAAGTATATTCAGGCTCTGCTGTACCAATATATACATTTTAAGATACAAAAAGATTTCTTCCTGTACCCGTTGTATTTCTTTGGGGAGATAACTGAAGGACACCTGATGCAACTATTCCAACACTTTGCACTCGGTATAAGTGAGAATTAGGCAGTTTGGGCTGCCTTCCAGTTTCTGAATCTGTCAGTGTGGGAAAATTGAGGACTTGAAGTCAAGTATACAGAAATAACCATTCCTTTTTACCTGAACTTAATTTCTTTTTTGGGCTCGCATCCCACCAGGCTGGCAGAACATGCCCTCGTTTCACCTTTCTCTCCCTGGTTGTCAAGATTTGGAGGTAATAAGGGTGGAGTCCTCCCTCCAGTCTTGGGGTCCATTCATCCACCGAGGTAGCTCTAGCCACGACCATTGTCCTGGTCAATGTCCACAGGCTCTGTCAAGTTGGCTGGTGTGCTCTCCAGTGTTTCCTTTTGCCCAGCTCAGGTTTCCCACCTTTGCAACCAGGTCCGTTGCATGCTGTGTCCCCCGCTGTTATGTTACCAGGATGCCTTTCCTAATCTTGCCCCTTCCACCCCTCAGGCCTCCCTCTCCTGCCTGCATCCCCAGGCAGTGGGTATGCCTTTCTGTGTGTGGGTGGGTTGGATGAGAGTGTGGGATGCAGTGTAGACTAGCCCTTACTTTTTCCTCAGACTTTTTGTTGATATCCAATTTTTACCTGAGTCTTACAGGCAATTTCTGTTTCTCATCTTGCTACAAGCCTATCCTGGAGTAGGGAATCCCTGTGACAGTCCCTTCTTAGAGGTAAGTATTGGACAGGTAGGGAAGAGGGAGAAATGAAAATACAGGGAGAAAAATACTCAAAATATTCGGCCACTTATTTATAAAGCATATGAGATCAGAATTGCAGTGTCACATTCTCCACAGCCTTCTCTAAAAGATGCCAATGTTTGAAGGAAGAACAAAGAATATTCAAAACACAAATCATGAATGTGTAGAGTTCTATAAACCCCACGTGAGTATGGATGCTGTTGGTAAGTTACCAGCTTCGATTGACTGAAGCAGAGGTAGAAACCCTCCCAAAACAAAACCCTGGATCACTTTGTTTATACTGTCCTCCCTGTTAAAACCCTCTGCCGCTAATATCAATAGAATGCCTTATATACTAAATATCACTCATCTGTAATGGCTTATTCTGGTCTGTTCCACCGTTTCTACAGTATGAAACAACTTTTAGCCTATAAATTACCCTGTTGAAGTAAGGCAATGTCACCATCAACCATGGCCACTACCTCCACCACGTGCTCAGTGTAAAGTGATGGATAGACAAGTCCTCACATCACTGCTTTTAACAGCAGACTCTTAACTGTGGGCTGGTGCTTTCTAACTGGTGGGCTCTAGGTCCTCTGCTGTTGTCCAGTGATTTCAGATTATAATCCACATATTCACATAGCATTATCTGTATAGTCAATTACTCTCAGATAGGGGAGGCATGACACATTTTTTTTTAAACCTAAATGCAGGATCCTTAATATTTAAAAAATCAAGAACCACTATAGAACATAACCCCTATTTTCCTTATTGTTTCAATATGCTCCACACCCAGACCAAACAAAGTTGGGTTTTTTAGCCAGTGGGACCCTAACTGAGTTGCTGTCATCTTTCTGAGCCCCGGCTCTATCCTCTTTGGCTTCAGGGCTTAATCTCTTTTTCTGAGAGCCATTTGGGATTCCTGGGCTGTTCCCAAGAGCTACTTCCTTTCTGATTTTGGTGTCTTCCCCTTAGAATGTCCTGTATTCTGTTGTGCTCTGCTCTGTGCTGGTGTTTTCTGCCTGGTGTCATTACCTTGAGCTTTAGACAATAATGGTTGGTTAATTATTACACCTTCGCTTTCAATCAAGATGTTAACATTTTGGCTTGTGTCCTCCTGACTGGTTTCTTGAATACATGCATGTGTGCAAACACACACACACACAATGGGTTCATACTATTTTATTCATACTATTTTATTAACCTGATTTTTAGCTTTTATGATACAAATTGTGGACATTTTCCTATGACATTATACATAGGCCCATATCACTCTAAGTCATAACTCCATAGAAATCCATGTTAATGAATGGACTGATTTACCATAATTTATATATCCAATTCCCTGCTGATGGACAGTAAGAATTCTAGTTTTTATCATTATAAAAAAATACCATGGGGCTTCCCTGGTGGCGCAGTGGTTGAGAGTCCGCCTGCCGATGCAAGGGACACGGGTTCGTGCCCCGGTCCGGCAGGATCCCACGTGCCGCGGAGTGGCTGGGCCTGTGAGCCATGGCCGCTGAGCCTGCGCGTCCGGAGCCTGTGCTCCGCAACGGGAGAGGCCACAACAGTGAGAGGCCCGCTTACCGCGAAAAAAAAAAAAAAAAATACCATGAACATCCATGTTGCATACTCTTTGTGCAGGGGTCCAATTATGTCCTTAGAGTACAGTCACAGAAATAGCTTTGGGTGCATTTACATGCGTTTTAAAGATTTTGATGTACATTTCTAAATTGTAGGCTGCCGTACTCCTGTTTGGCTTCTGGTGAGTGGTCAAGATCCTATTTCCTATCTAGTGTCTTTACTTTGTCACAGAAATGCCTGTGGCTTTGCTGAGGGAAACTAGCTTTTTCACCTGAGCTTGTATTCAGATTCTTGGGCTGGATATGCTTGGTGAGCTGGGCCTCCTCTCTGTTCCATCCTCCTTCCTCCAGTCCATATTCAGTTTTACTGGAATGTTCAGCCGTTGGTCTATAGGGTATTTATGGTGATTCGAGTTGAACATCAAAGCATTCTCCCTTTCAGAACTCCAGGGATTTTAAATATCCTTCACCCCATTCACGCTGCTTCTTGTTTTGCCTCCAGATTTAAATGAAAGTTGAGCTTTTATAGTAGAGATAAAATCAATTTTATATCACAGACATGCTTGGGCAATCCGTTCTTCCCAGCATATACTAATAAAGGAAATGACATTTTCTTTTTGTTTGTTTGTTTGGTTTTGTGGTTTTTTTTGCGGTACGCAGGCCTCTCACTGTTGTGGCCTCTCCCGTTGCGGAGCACAGGCTCCGGACGCGCAGGCTCAGCGGCCATGGCTCACGGGCCCAGCCGCTCCGCGGCATGTGGGATCTTCCCGGACCGGGGCACGAACCCGCGTCCCCTGCATCGGCAGGCGGACTCTCAACCACTGCGCCACCAGGGAAGCCCGGAAATGCCATTTTCAAAGAAATAAGTATTTATAGACCTTTTTTTTTTTTTTTAGATTTAAATAAGACTTAATTGTTGAAACAGAGATGCCACAGGATCAAGCTCTGGCTCAAGTGGACCACGATTTAGCAACTCATTAATAAAATCTAGCAGATGGCAAAGTGGTTACAACACCAAGAATAGGATTGCTTAGTGTGGGGATGAATGGAAAATCAAGGTAGGCACGGGTGATTGGATGACATTTTTGTTCACTTGCAATAAATCATGATGTCTTATTAACAGCCATTATGGGAAAAGAAAGCTTTTTGTAGAACAGGGAAAGGGACAATGGTAGATTTTCGATAAGCCATTCAAGTCTCGGGGAGTTTCTCACCACGAGAGAGAGAAAGATGAATAGATGCAACAGAGCAGTGATTTCCTTGAACCAAAATGTGACTTTCCAGGGGGTTCAAGGGAACCAATAGTTTAAGGAGAATACACACCCAAATATTCTCTCCTAAAATTCATCCACCTAGGAATGTGCCTGTGATGGACGTGTAACTTCCCTCCCTCCTCTTTCACAGTCTTATTTCTACCACTTTATAAAAGAAAGAGACTTCTCATCTTTCCCACATCACACGTAGGGGGAGAAAACCTCTGGGACATCAAACAAATAGACACAGAAAAATAGCATGTTGAGAAAGTCAATGACTACTAACCAGGATGCTAATCCCTTTATAAATCAGGTGGTTTCAAATTTGCTTTCAGTCACTTTGAAAGAGGACTTAAGTTGTCAGGTGAGAAATCAGTAAAAATAATTGTTGATGATATCTCTTATTTTTGTTATATAATTCAAGAGGTCAAGGAATCGAGTGGAACCACCGTAATATAACTCCTTTCACTCCCCAACAAGGTTTCTCTGTGCTTGTATCTATAAAAATGAAAAGTAGAAACACAATTGATGCCAAATTCTATCTGTATCTAGCTAAAAGTAAGAGCCATTCATGGATACATGAACTAATTGGAGAAAAAACCCGAACATTTCTGTGCCATGAAGATACCATCTTCAGTGAAATTTTACCTTTTACATTTAATAATTTTTAATTTATATTTTCATATTGATCAATTATGTACCAATAATAATTATAATCATAACTCAATCCAAAAGTGATTTTTTAATAGTTGGAGGTTTATGGTCATGGAAAGTGCCAAAACTTTTAACAAATAAACTTATGTAGATATTTTTATCGTAAAGTAGTGTGTTAGGGTAATAGGGGATTCAAAAACTGAATTCAAAGGAAAAAGAAATGATGTGAAATTTTTCAGTTTTTATATATATATTTTAAATGGATGATGGGCATAAATTGTCACAGTATTTAGATTATGTTACATACATTAGAAGTGACATAATAGTTTTGTTTTAAAACATCAAATTTTACAGTACATGAGTGAATCAGTTGCTATGTAACAAACCACCCTAAAGTTTAGTGACTTCACACAACAAATATTTCTGATGTTCATGATTCTGTGGGTCAGCGGGCAGTTCTGGTCTTGACCGGATTGGTCGAACTTTGAGGTCAGCTGGTGGCTCAGCTCAGCTGGGACTGGATGGTCTCACATCCTATGGCCTCATTCATGTCTGTCAGTTGGAAGCTTGCTGGGTCTAGGGATCCTCAGATGAGATAGCTTCTTTCTGTTCTATGTGGCCTCTCTTCCACCAGCGGCTAGCATAGGCTTCTTTGCATAGTATCTTATTCAGCTAGGGCTGCTGTAACAAACATCATAGACTGGGTGGCTTAAACAACAGACGTTCATTTCTCACAGTTATGGAGTCTGGAAATACAACATCAAGTTCCCAGCAGATTGAATTCCTGATGACAGCCTGTGCCCTGGCTTGTAGACAGCTACCTTCTCTCTGTGTCCTCACATGGCCTTTCCTCCAAGCATGTGTGGAGAGAGATCTATCTCTCTTCTATTAAGGGCACAAATCCCCTCATAAGTGTCCCACCCTCATGAACTAATCTAAACCCTGTCTCCTCTCAAAGGGCCCACCTCCTAATACCATCACATTGGTTGTTAGGACTTCAACATACAAATTCTGGGGGGAACACAAACATTCAATCTGTAACACGTGGTGGCCTCAGGGTTCCAAAGAGCATGGGGACCAAGCCCCAATGCACATGCCATTTTCAAGCCTCTCCCTAGCTCAAGTTTGCTTATGTCCCATTGGCTAAAGCAAGTCTTGTCACCAAACCCAGAGGCAGGTTGGGAAAGAACTGCCTAAAGGCATGGATCCAGGGACGTGTGACTCATTAGGGACCATTACTGCAACAATCTACCACAGCCAGAAATGACATCCTTTGAAATGATTTAAATTAATAATGGAAAACATTTAGATGTTAACGAGAGAGGGTACATAGTTTTAAAAAAGTATTTGGGGGAGCTTCTGAGAAAAAATTGAAAACTATTGCCTGAGAAATTGGGAGTATTTTAGAGGGCAGTCCACGCTTTCTCACTTTCCACTCTCCATTGGGCATCAGGGAAGCTGAATGGATGGAAAGTGATGGGCTTTGGCACGGGATGCCTGTGTGCTGAACCCTGACATTTTGTCTGCCAGCTGTGTGATCCTGGGCAAGGCACCAAACCCTTCTGAGTCTGTTTCCTCTCCTCAGATGTGGGTTAACAATACCTACTTTATCATGTGACTCAATTAATGGTCACTTTCTACTTCCTCCCACCCCATACCCAGGACCTCAGTCAACCTCATGGACATCTCAATTTATCAATGAGATAATAACCTGGTACCAAGTTTGCTTTGGAACCTTCAAGCGAAAGATGGTCTTTGTTGGGAAACATCTGGAAAATATTCTTTTTTTTTTTTGCGGTACACGGGCCTCTCACTGCTATGGCCTCTCCTGCTGTGGAGCACAGGTTCTGGACATGCAGGCTCAGCGGCTATGGCTCACAGGCCCAGCTGCTCTGCGGCACGTGGGATCCTCCCGGACTGGGGCACGAACCCGCGTCCCCTGCATCGGCAGGCGCACTCCCAACCACTGCGCCACCAGGGAAGCCCTGGAAAATATTCTTATTAGGGATTTGTATTCACTTGTAAAGTTATTCATCACTCCATTAAATATGCAAAAGTAAATCTAGACTGAACAGTGATATAAATGATTAGAATAAGAAAGTTTTTATATAGAACTTAAAAGAAATGGAAAAACTGCCTTGCAAGTGCATTTAACTTATGTACATGATTTTTAAAACAAACTTGGAAGCTTTGATCAAAATAGCAATTAGTGGATGTGTCCTATGTCACTTACCATAGTACTCAATAATTCATGGTTGGATGTCTGAGTCTGACGCACCCCGATTTTAACAACAGAAAAGAATGAAAACCCATTGCACAATCTGTCTTAGCTAGGATAGGAAAAATTTACTAAAATCTTTTTTCTGCTTGATTTTTATGTTACTCAGGTGACTCTAAATGTGTAAAGAAATCTAAAACACAAATATGCATAGAATTCCACAAACTATTTTTCTCTTTTTTTCCCTTCTTTTTCTTACTAAATCTTATCCAGGGCACGTGCAATTTCTCTCAGTTAAAATCACATCATTGATTCGATTTTTATAAGGAACACATTTGGGAATCCTACCATAGTTTCACTGATACTTCCTTTCCCCATCATTTTTGTTTTCAAAATCTTCAATCAGTTGATGGTTCTTGAAATTATTAGTTTTTAGTTGATATATTTTTTTAAATTACAATTGACTTATTTTCTTCTGCTCATTTTTCTTAATAAACTGAAGAAGTTGGTTTGGTTTTTATTTATGGAGAGCTGTCTTCTGAAGACCTACACCCTCCAGCAATATCTCTAATCCTGGGAGTCGACCACATGGCTGCCACTACTGTGTGGTGGGGCTGAAGAGGGGGAGCCCTCTGCCCTGGATCTTGTTTTCATAAGTAAATAAATGGTAATGACTTTCTTCAAGGAAATGTTCCTACTGTACCTTAGTGGACATTATGTGTAAGAAATCTTGACATTATAAAAATAAAATTCCCTTAGGGAGGTAGAAAGGAAGCTGGTGTGTCAGACTGGAAAAGGCCAGGTCCTTTGTTAGGCTTCAGAATGACAAACAGTTCTGCTTTATTAACTGAGAACTAGATAAGAGACACAGACTTACAGGGCGTTTCTGAGAGGGAGAGGGATGTTTTTAAAAGTGAATTTTAAAATTGAGGTAGGGCTTCCCTGGTGGCACAGTGGTCAAGAATCCACCTGACAATGCGGGGGATACGGGTTCGAGCCCTGGTCCGGGAAGATCCCACGTGCTGGGGAGCAACTAAGCCCGTGTGCTACAACTGAGCCTGTGCTCTAGAGCCCGAGAGCCACAACTACTAAAGCCCTCGAGCCTAGAGCCCGTGCTCTGCAACAAGAGAAGCCACTGCAGTGAGAAGCCCGCACAACCCAACGAAGACCCAATGCAGCCAAAAGTAAAGAAATAATTTTTAAAAATTGGGGTAGAACAGATATACAAAGTGCACAACATAAATGAATACCTTTGATTTTTTTTGTTTTTGTTTTTTTTTGTGGTACGCGGGCCTCTCACTGTTGTGGCCTCTCCCGTTGCGGAGCACAGGCTCCGGACACGCAGGCCCAGCGGCCATGGCTCACGGGCCCAGCCACTCCGCGGCATGTGGGATCGTCCCAGACCGGGACACGAACCCGTGTACCCTGCATCGGCTGGCGGACTCTCAACCACTGTGCCACCAGGGAAGCCCTACCTTTAGATTTTTGTATGTTTACCCCATGTTACCACTACTCAGAGCAAGATATAGAACATTTCCTGCGCCCCATAAAGTTCCCTGTATCTCTTCCAGTCAAAACCCACACCCTTCCTTGGGTCACCACTATTACGACTTCCGTCATTGCTGGGGACTAAATGTTTGTGTCCCCCTGCCCCCCAGCCCCAATCATATGTTGAAGTCCCAGTCCCCATTGGGATGGTATTAGGAGGTGGGGCCTCTGGAGATGATCAGGTCATGAGGGCAGAGCCCTCATGAATGGGATTAGTGCCCTTACAAATGACACGGAAGAGATCATTTCCACCACGTGAAGACATAGCAAGAATGAGGCATTCTGCAAACAGGGGAGGGGCCTTCACCAGACACTGAATCTGCTGACACCTTGATCTTGGGCTTAGCCTCCAGAACTGTGAGAAATAAGTTTCTATTGTTTAAGCCACCCAATCTCTGGTCTTTTGTTATAGAAACACTAACTACTGAGATCATCATAATTGATTAGTTCTGCTTGCTTTTGAACTTCACATAAATGGGAGCAGATAGCGTGCACTCTCTTATGGCTGGCTTCCTTCACTCAACTGAAATTGGTAAGATTCGTCTGTGTGTCCTAGTAGTACATTCTGTACATTTGTTGCTAGATTTTATTGCATGAATAACTCCAAGTTTGTCTATCCATTGGTTGATGGGTCTTAGGCTGCCCAAGTGAAGGGATGACACCCATCAAGGCTACAAAGTGACTCATGGGACCAGACTCCACTGCTTGCCTCAGACAAGTAATTCATTTATTCAACAAATATGTATTGATTTTTTTGAAATTAAGTATAGTGGATTTAAAATATTGTGTTAGTTTCAGGAGTACAGCAAAGTGATTTTGTTTCACATATATATATATATTTTTTCAGATTATTTTCCATTATAGTTATGACAAGATATTGAATATAATTCCCTGTGCTATATAGTAGGTCCTTGTTGTTTACCTGTTTTATCTATAGGAGTGTGTATCTGCTAATCCCAAACTCCTAATTTATCCCTCCCTCCTCCCTTTCCCCTTTGGCAACCATAGTTTTTTTCTAAGTCTGTGAGTCTGTTTCTGTTTTGTAAAGATATATTTGTATTATTTTTTAGATTCCACGTATAAGTGATATCATATAACATTTGTCTTTCTCTACCTGACTTACTTCACTTAGTATGATAATCTCTAGATCCATCCATGTTGCTGCAAATGGCAATATTTCATTCTTTTTTATGGCTGAGTAATATTCCAATATTTATTTATATATATATATATATATATATATAAAATGGAATATTACTCAGCCATATATATATCTCACATATTCTTTATCCATTCCTCTGTTGATGGACATTTAGGTTGTTTCCATGTCTTGGCTATTGTAAATAGTGCTGCTATGAACACTGGGGTGCATGTGTCTTTTTGAATTAGAGTTTTTGTCTTTTCCAGATATGTGTCCAGGAGTGGGGTTGCTGGATCACTTGTGAGCACCTGCTCTGTGTGTGAAGGCCCAGGCACTGTTCTGTATGCTGGAGGAGTCAAGGAAGCACACAACCAAATCCTTAACCTCATGGAGCTGACACTGTAGTGGGAAGGGATGGGTACGGATGCTGAGCCGCATGTGTGCCCGGCCAATCCTAGCAACCAAATGGAGAACTTGGGGGAGGGTTTCAAGCTCCAGCAAAAGGCTGGCACTTTCAGGGATCAGTGCCGTGGGGACTTTGGAGAAAGGTGAGAGTGACCTCCCCAAGGTCAAGAGAGGTCATCCTAAAGCCACACAGGGAACTGATTTTGAAGAACCTTCTTCACCGTCCTTTCTTAGGTGGAGACTATACATTAGGAACCCAGTTCTAAAGGACCTGGAGTTTCCATCAATCCTGGCAGGTGCATAAAGTGTGGAGAGTTTGACCTGTTTAAAGTGCGGTCAACATCTGAAACTAACACAACATTGTAAATCAACTATACTCTAATAAAAAGTTTTTAAAAATTGATATAATGAACCATGGTACACAATTTGAAAAAAAAAAAATATATAAAGTGCAGTTAAGTTTAGCTCCCCACAACAAGAACTAGAGGAAATTCCCCAGGATTGTTTCAGATGGAGTCACAGACGGGCTAAGGGAAAGATTAGGATCTATGAAAATGTCAAAACAGAACCTTGACAGGGGTTTGAAATAGAAGTTTCATGATTTTTTTTTCCATGTCCCAATTTTTAAAATTGAAGTATAGTTAATTTACAATGTTGTGTTAGTTGCAGGTGTACAGCAAAGTGATTCAGTCATATATATATATATATTTTTTTTCAGATTCTTTTCCATTATAGGTTATTTCAAGATATTGAGTAGAGTTCTCTGTGCTCTACAGTAGGCCCTTGTTGTTTACCTGTTTTATATATAGTAGTGTGTATATGTTAATCCCATAATCCTAATTTATCTCCCTGCCCATCACCTTTGGTAACCATAAATTTGTCTTCTATGTCTTTGAGTCTATTTCTGCTTTGTGAATAAGTTCATCTGTATCATTTTTTAAAATTCCACCTATAGGTGATACATGATTTTTAACTTGCCATATTTGTTATTTTTATTTCCTGTTTCTTCAATGAAATTTCAACTGAAATTTATAAAAATGCTGGTTTATTTTTTGGGGACAGCAATAAAGTGGGGAATCATTCCATCGATACTGACTCCGCATCCTCACTGCTCATATCTGGTAACTGAACTTGGGATGTGGCAGCTCTGAAGAGGAGGGACACGTGGAGAATCCCTGACTCTTTCCGAAGGAGTAGCAGTAAGTGATGCACAGACAGTGAAGGGACCAGGCAAGTGGAAGGCCCCACCCGCATCCTCCCAGCTGCCTCCCACTGCTGCTCCGTGTCTCTGGGCTTCTTGTAGTCCTGGAAGAGGCCAGCCCTTCCTCCAGAGAGGAAGCACATGATAGCTCAATGTGCACGCCGGACATCTTCTGGTGGCAACAGGAGAAATGTAATCAGGAAATCTTACCCATCTGTGGTACTCAACCCCAGGCAGCTTTGAAAATATACTGGGAGACTGGGATTGACGTATATACACTAATATGTATAAAATGGATAACTAATAAGAACCTGCTGTATAAAAAAATAAAGTAAAATTCAAAAATTCAAAAAAAAAATAGCAAAAAAAAAAAAGAAAATATACGAATGCCAGGACTCACCTCAGACCAGGAGAATCACAATCTCTGGGCTGGGATCAGTGCATCAGTGTATTTTTTTTAAATGCTAGGCTATGTAAAATCCCTACTTTTATTCATTTTATATGAGTAGTAGAGAGTCCCAGAGCTTTTTTTCAGTCTTTGGAAAAGCTTAATGAAATGATACATCAGCCTTCAAAAAGGATCTGAGATGAACTGAAATATTACATTTCTTCACTTTGAACTGAACTCACAGTAACTCAGTGCGATCACCCTTGAACCCTCGCGCTGATCAGAATGATGGATATATTTCCCTATCTGTGATACTTATAACATTAAATGCATGATTAGTAAGTGCGATTTGGTGGCCAAAAGGGAATCCTTCAAATTCTGAGGTGACCACAGTTAGAAAAAATACACCAGGAGGGAGGGCATTGGTGATAGAAAAGTCTGGAGCCATGCAGTTCATTCATTTAAACTCCATAGCAAGGTGGGATAGATTAGTAAATGGAGAAGCACAGAATCTGACTTTTGGGATTCTGTTTCTGTGTTTACTATAAAAAAAAAAAAAGAAGGACGACCCACTTGTAGCCCCAGGGAGAACTTCCTAAAAGCCAAAGAACAGAGGAGACATGCAGAATTGGAAGACCCTCAAAGCCAGATCAAAAAATGTTGAACCCAGGTAGGTTACCTTTAGGCAAAGAGAATTGAAAAGTATCACTCACTGGACTCCTACTACCCCAAGATTAAATTTCACATCCAGTTGCAAAAATAAAAGAGTGAGCCCAACGTTAACTATTATATACCTATTACGGACTAATTCTAGAGGTAATAATATCTAACCTCTTTCTTTCTCTCCTTTTTTTCTTTCTTTCTCTCTCCCTCTCTCTTTCTTCCTCCTCCCTTTATTTCCTTCTTCCTTCCTTCCTTCCTTTCTTTCTTTCTTTCCTCTGTCTCTCTGTCCCTCCTTCCCTCCCTCTCTCCCTCCCTCCTTCCCTCCCTCCCTCCCTTCCTTCCCTCCTTCCTTCCCCTCTCTTTCTCTCTGTCTCTCTCTCTCTTTTGCAAGAGCTTGGCTCATAAACATTTAATAAATGCTGGTAACAACAACAACAAAAACATTTTTTCCATTTGTGTGGATAGCAACTCAATTCCTTTGGTTCCAAGATACAGTACTTTTGGACCTCTTAAATATTAGATATAATTGACATGCTGCATTATATTAGTTTCAGATAAAAAACGTAGTGATTCCAAATTTGTGTATACTGTAAGATGCTCGCCACAGTAACTCCAGTTAACATCCACTGCACATAGTTACAATTTGTGTGTGTGTGTGTGAGATGAAAACTTTTAAGATTTATTCTCTTAGCAGCTGTCAAATGTATAATACACTATTATTAACTATAGTCCCCATGCTGTACATGACATCCCCATGACATTTGTTTTATAGATGGGAGTTTGTACTTTTTAACCCCTTCACCCATTTCGTTCAATTCGCCACTCTTCCTCTGGTAACCACCAATCTGTTTTCTGGGATCCATGAGTTTGTTTGTTTGCTTTTTAGATTCCACATATAAGTGAAGTCATACACTATTTGTCTTTCTCTTTCTGACTTAGCATAATTTCCTCCAAGTCCATCCATGTTGGCGCAAATGGCAAAATTCATTCTTTTTTATAAAGTTGAGTAATATTTCATTGTATATGTATATACCACATCTTCTTTATCCATTCATCTATTGTTGGACACTTAGGTTGCTTCCATATCTTAGCTATTGTAAATAATGCTACAATGAATATGGGGGGTGCCTATGTGTTTTCGAGTTAGCTTTTCACTTTGATGTGGTCGCACTTGTTTATTTTTGCTTTTGTAGCCTTTGCTTTTGGTGTCATATCCCAAAAAATTTATCCTTCAGATAAATACCCAGAAGGGGGATTGCTGGATCACATGGTAACTCTGTTTTTTAATTTCTTGAGGAACCTCTATATTGTTTTTGTTTTCTATAATTGTTGTACTAATTTACATTACTACCGAGAGTGCACAAGGTTTCCCTTTTATCCTCATTGTTGGCAACACTTGTTTTTTCTTGTTTTTCTGATAATAGCTATTCTAACAGGTGTGAGGTGATCTATCATTGTGGTTTTGATTTGCATTTCCCTGATGGTTAGTGATGTTGAGCACCTTTTCATGTACCTGTTGGCCATCTGTGTGTATGTCTTCCTTGGAAAAATGTCTGTTCAGATCCTCTGCCCATTTTTTAATCAGATTTTTTTTTTTTTGCTATTGAGTTGTATGAGTTCTTTACATATTGTGGATATTAACTGTTTATCAGATATATAATTTGCAAATATTTTCTGCCATCCCATAGGCTGTCTTTTCATTTTATTGATGGTTACCCTTTGCTGTGCAGAAACTTTTCACTTTGATGTGGTCCTACTTGTTTATTTTTGCTTTTGTAGCCTTTGCTTTTGGTGTCAAATCCAAAAAAAGATCATTGTCTCCTGTGTTTCCTTCTAGGATTTTTATGGTTTCAGGCCTAACAGTCAAGTCTTTAATTGACCTTGAGTTAACTTTTGTGTACGGTACAATATAGTGGTCCAGTGTTACTCTCTTGCATGTGGCTGTCCAGTTTTCCTAACAT